AAATGATGAAGTAATAGGCTCGTCAAGAGGACTACTGGCATCCCTTTCCCTCTCCACTGGTAATTGTCAAGTGACATGTAAAATGACTACTTGGGTTTCAATTTCTTTCATGGATTTCAAAGACATCGTGAAAGAAATGTATGTCTGAGAAAGAAAATGACAAGAGCATGAAATAATCAGTAGGCAGGCAGCCTGTGTCCTCCTTGGTGGCCTTGAAATGGCCAGATCTCCAGGCAGTCCAGTGCTGCAGGAAGTCCCTCAGCACGTTTCAAACTTGTGGGAGTCCATGAACACAAGGGTCTCAGAAAAGTCTTTCTACCCCATCAGGCTTCTAGATTGAGTCGATATCAGAAAAGATCCAACTTCAGTCACTCAGGGAGATACATGAACAATTACTGCATTTGAAATCCATGAAACCCAGAAGCCTGTGAAATGTTCATATGACCATGCCCTCTGTAGTGCAAAATTTCCCAAATATCAGAACTGAGAGACATTGTTTGAAATTGTTTAAAATTTTAAAATATTTTTTAAAAAGCTCCCCCCCCGACCAATGCATAAAGAAAACTTGAAACACATAAGCTCTCCAAATATTCCTCCACTTTGTGGTGGAAGCCAGCTTGTGTGCAGAAGGACAGCAGTTTTGCGTCCAATCTCCCAAGACTTCTCTTTCTGTGATGAGAATAAAAGATGTGATTATGTTGATAAAGAGTTGTGCTTATATAGCAGAGGCGAATGTGGAAGTGACCACAACCTTTCAGTCTGGGGTGTACTCGTGACTGGAGTTTGGCTTAAGCTTTGGTTTTCCAAGGGTTCATTTCCCACATCTCTGCAGCCCCCAAAGGTTATTCTTGGCGCCCCCTGTCTCCCCTTTGAGGTGCCTACCCTCTGTTCCAGAGGATGAGAAGAGAATACTGTCAAGATGGTTTCATTCAGCTCCTTCAAGACAGAAAATGGCCTCTACCAGAGCATCTCATAGCACAAGGTGTGACAGTCTCAGAAATTTACCTATGAGGTCCCCATGCCCCAGGAATCAGGAGCCAGGGGTCTTCTGGGCTGCTCATTCAAGTCCATTGAGCTAATCATTCTGAAGCCACGTGGCTGTCTCCACTAAGGCATTAGGACGGTGCTGAAATCACACCTGTTGAGTTTCTTCTCAACAAGTCCTGCTTTGTTCTTTCAGCAGAACTCTCACGTGGTCACATCCTGCACCTCTGAATTTGAAACCAAGTAGCAATAAAACTTGTCATGTAGGCTAAAACATCAGTGTAGAGGAAAGACAGCACTTGCCCTGGAATTGGATTCTAGTCCCAATATATTGTATCTCTTTGAACAAAACAAGTTTTAGACTTTTGTCAGGAAGCCATGGGTTCCAAGGCTTTCTTAGACATGTATTAGCTATGTGATCATATGTTAATTAACCTCTCTAACAAATTCCCCATTGAGAAAGGGGAATGATATCACTGATGCTACTTTGTATCAGAGTTCCATCTTAAGAAAACTCACTTTGTAAACCAGAATATTGTCTAAAAATGTGAGCTAACATCACCGAGGCTGTGGAATTCAGAGCCTTGGTATTTTACCATCACCTCTGACACTTAACTAGCTGGCTAATCCAAGGCAAGTCAAGTGATTGAAGTCTCTGAATCTCAGTCAACTCTAGGTCTCTAAGTCGTTGAAGGGTTAAGACCTGCTACAGGGAAGGGAGTTCCAGTATTGAGGAAATCACAGGTCCTTGACCAAATGACACGTTTGCATTTGCTCAATGAAACTTCCCAATAATTTGATGAAGTAAGCCAGACAGGTTTTATTTTACCCATTTTCTAGACTGTGAAGTTGAGGCAGAAAAGCTGTAAATGATTTGGCTATGATATTCCTACTCTAAACTATATTCTTTCCACTACAATCCAAACATCCTGTCTTTGCTCTAAGCCTTGACCAGAGACTCCAACCCTGACCATTTTCCAAATCCACACTGCAGTTATAAGGAAAATCAGACCAGAAAGAATGGCTGAGGAAGCATCACCCCACCCCTAGTGCTCCAAAATCCATTCAGAGCTCATAACGCAAATGAGGGCAATTGAGTCTCAGTCTAAGTAGGGACCTGACACGTCACCTAGTCTAACTTGTACCAGATCATGAATTGCCTAGAAAACAACCATCCTATTTGCAGAAAATAGATATTTCAATAGCATTCTATCTGTACGGGACACTTCTGGCTGAATTCCTATGATATTCAAGTTCTACAAAGCACTTCCTATGCCACCCTTCCTCCAAGTCCATGGGACCTTTGCATATGCCTTGCCATTGAAATCTTCCATAAGTGTTGGCTCTCCCTGTACGAATATGAGCTCCTTGGGTGCTGGGACTGTTTCAGAGCAGTGCTGTGCAAATAGAAAGTGCTCAGCATTTTTTTTTTATTCATTCGTATTATCCCATTTGATTTTCACAATAACTCTGTGATTTAGAGGCTATTATTATCCCCATTTTACAGATTTGGAAACTGAGGCATAGGTCAACTGACTTGCCCCAGGTCACAAAGTTAATAGGTGTCTGAAGAAGGATTTGAACCCAGAATTTCTTGATTCTAAATCCAGAGCTCTACCCGCTATACTATATTGCCTCTGTTAGGTAGAAGCATAAGCTACATGAAAAATCTGGGAAGGAGAAGGCAGTTGTGATCTTTTATGTTCCAAATAAAATATAGCAAATTGAAGAAGTTCCTATTCATATCAAACATCTTTGTGAGCTGAGAATCTTCGTGCTATGAGATGGTGGCCAAGCCACTTTATTCTCTGAGACTCAGTTTCCTTATTTGTGGAATGTGGGAGCCAGATTAGGATGTTTCCATTTCACAGGAAAAAATAGAACATGTTCTCAAACCCACTCCTCTTTCCTACAGATCATCTGTGCTTGGGACCAAACCCATCAAGAACATCAGCATGAGGGACAACCTTTAGCTTAGAAAGGACCAGGAGAGCATGTTAGCACAGAAAAGAAAAGGCTGGCAGCAGTGGGGGAGGTGTAGGGAAGTACCCCAACACTCAGACCACTGCCTGGGGCCTCGCCCATCCTAGCTGGCTGAAACACAAGCGCTTTGGGAGCCCAACAGCATTTCCTACACACGGAAGAAACATCCCATTTGTGGCATGAAGCCCACAGCTGAGAGCAGACACAGATAGGTAAACTACAGTACAAAAGCTACCAACAACCAAAGGGTACTTTATGACTATGTGTAGTGTAGTTTAAACCATTATTTAATTTACAATACTAGTCAAAATACCCCATTGGGTTCAATCAACTCACTCCCCAACATCTCTTCCTCTCATCAGTTCTGGAAAGAGAATGATGTGTCGGGAAGCCTTTGGAGAGGGGAGAGGAAACACGGGGTTGTCAATTTTTTAAAGGGAGGGTAGCAGGCAATGGTCAGGATGACAACCTGGTTTACATTTAAGCATTTCAAATTGTACAAAAGAGGATGTTATCTATTCCAAGTTTCATGAGAACTCTGGGATATACTAGAATGTCCTCTGCATATAATTACAGGTTTATTTCTTTATTTTCCATGTTAATCCCCCTAATATTCTTTTTTTTTCCTGTCCTATCGCAAATCCTAGAACATCCAATACTATGTCAAATGAATTCATTTAAACAGAAATCTTTGCAAAGCAAGTTTAATTAGCTGCATTGGTGTTGACTCTCAAGCGTATAATAAATCATTAAAAAATATTGGGTAGGCACAATCTGACTCACAAATAATTTCAGAAGATAAAGCTGTGTGTGCCGTCAATGGAGCAACAGCTGCTTCACCAAGCAAACCCAGGGGATGCCAACCTGTGGAATATTCGGGATAGTCCTTTCCCGCTTAATGATGCCAAACTAGCCACGTTTAACAGATAGACTCAGTGGACTGCCTAACGTGTCCCCTAGAGCTTCACGACGACCATCTGACATGACGCTGAAAAGGTTTCATGCCAATTACAGGTCAAACTGGCAGACCTCCAAGTCTATTTCTTTTCTCTTGGAAATCAGCATGAAGAGTCCTCAGGTAGAATGAACCCCAATACACTTCATCTAGGGGAGGTCGGTATTGCCTGGCAAGCCAAGCTCTTTTACCCAAGGCAAACCGCTCAAAATGGTCTAGAGAGACCAATCCCATTTCTGCGTCCCCTACTGAGCACATTCATGCATTTTGAGAAAACTAAGAAACAAAGCTATTTTTTTTTTTTCCCACACGGGGCATTGCCCAGAAGTACTGGAAATGATGCACCTGTTTCCATCCCTTTTCCCTGGATTTCTGGTAAATGATCCCAGCTGCCTGGCTCCCCCCAAGGGATCCCAAAGCAATGAAAATCAGGTTCTCCTCATCCTCACAACATCTAGTTTAACTTCAGAGCTCTAGAGCAAAAAGCACCCCAGGGAGGGAGGACAAGGAGACCCTACCCACCATACCAGCAGCAGACCCATCTAGATGGGTTGGTCTATAAATGAATGGCTTATCCCCCTGTTTTCACCCAATAAATCCAGCTGGATTGCCCGGCCCAGGTAGGGCGTTGTCTAAACAGGTGCCCCGAGTCGGATCCCGCCGGGTTTATGACACCATACAAAAACCGACCCAACAATCCCGGTTTGTCTAAACTCGCAAGCAGCCTGGCTCTCATTTTTCTAGTCCAGCCCAGCCAAGGTCCAACACTCCTGCCCTTGTAGGTCACAGGGGCGGCAGAAAGCGGGGAGCAGGGTAGGGAAAGCAGCTGCCGAAGTCCCCCTGGCCAGCCTCGGCGTATAGCTGCCCCAAGATACGGAAGGATTGGATCCGGAGGGGCGCTTCCCGGTCACATCCACTTACTGAGAGGGGTACAGAAGGAGCGGCTCCTTGCCTGGGCTGCATTTGGCCAGCCGGCCGGCCCCTTTCCCCACCCCTCGCCCCCCACCCCCTGAAGTCTCTGGTCGCCAAGGAAGGGAAGGGATGGAGGCGTGGGGACCGCGCTGTGGAGGTCTCTTACCTGAGTTGATCAAGCTGTGCATTCTCTGTTGAGCCAACAGCTGCTCCCGACCAGCCACCCCATCTGAAGAAAAACAGGATTCCGCCTCGTAAATTGCCTGCAGCATATCCCCATCAGGTTGCCCTCCCTCCCGCTTCAGCTAGGGAAGATGAATCCGCTCGCCCAGGGAACACGGGCTGGGTAGGGGAAGCGCCCCTCTGGCTCCCAGTGGGGTGGGCAGGACAGAAGAGAAGCAACTGGGTACCTCACCCCCCCATCCATGCAGACATGCACTGCCCCCCACCCCTTCCCTCTGTCCAGTCTAAATGCTTAAACGCATTGGCAACCTGCTGCAGAAGGAAAGCGACCCAGGAGCTAAACAGATAAAGAGAGAGAGAGAAAATTGAGCAGAGAGAAAGCCCTTCCTGGCTCGAGCCTATCCGGGAAACCCCGAGCAGGTGAAGAAGAGAGGCGCTGCTCCAGGGCTGTCTGCCTGCCTGTCTGTCCGTCTGTAGGTTTCTTGTCCCCCCTCCCCTCCCCGCTCCAAATGATATTAACAAGCGAAGGAAGACTGATATCAGCAAGAGAAGGAAACCGATGGACCTCGGCTTCACCAGAAGCTTTGAGATCATAGAGATCTAGCTGAAATTACCCTCGGTCCCTCCCGACAAGTGGTTTCGGTCCTGGTGCCTTCCTCCTCCTCCTCCTCCTCCTCCTCCTCCTCCACCTCCTCCTTTTCCTCCTCCCTGTGTTTGTGTGTTTGTGTGTGAGAGTGCGTGCGTGTGTGTGTGTGTGTCTTCGTCTTCCCCCTTTCTCTGTCTCTGGTCTAAAGTTGGCTAAGGCGAGTGATCATCCATTTGCATATGAATCAACAGCAGCCTGGCCCACAGGCAACAGAAATAGAACAATGGCCGGCCTGAGCCAAAAATAGGTCAAGCATGGCTGAGTGATTGGAGCCTGAATTAATGCATTTAAAAATACCACCGCAAACACAGCTGTCCCCAGCTCTATCTCGCCAGCCAGAATTCTCTATTGCACAGCCTCAAAAGGAATTAACCCCTTCCTCTCGCCGGCCGGCCTGCCTGGCTGCCTCGGGAGCTCACCGGCTGGGTGTGCACGCATGCATTCATGCAGCTTGCAAAGGCACCGAACAGGCATCGTCAGCCCCAGATGGGAAAGGGCCCACTGGCCATGCATTTTATTTTTGCTGTGCGGGTTCTGGTTTAAAAGACAGTGAGCAAGCCGAAAGCGAAGAGCTCCGCATGGGTTCCAAAACGATACTGGAAGCTTTTGCTCCAGAGTGTGGTTTCTGCCTCACCCACGCACAGAATCCTGGAGCGCTATTTTTGTTGCCTTTCTCTGGCTGCACTGCAGTTGGCTGGAGCCCTGGAAGCTTTGCTGCCTTTCTAGTTTCAGAACTGACAGGAGATTTATCTGGGCGAGGTGGTTTCTGGAAGCAAGAGCCTCCCTCTGTCTTCACCCCCACCCCCCATCCCCAGCCCAGCCCAAGTGTTTATCAGGCATATCGGTTGGCCATTTCTCAAATCCTTCTGCTGTCTTAGCGTCCCTTTTCAATTACATAGCTTCTCAGCTTTACTGACTCTGATTCTTCCGATTCCTAAATACAGAAATACGGAGGAGAACTGCAGACCTGTGTAGCACATTCGTCTCTCAGGAGACTTCAGCTACCTAAGAAAAGGAAAAATCTGGAAATACTTGAAAGATGGGCCAGTCATAGGAAAATAGGGAAGACTAAGTTATGGATGTCCTGGATGCTTCACTGGTTTGCTCTGAATGTGAACAGAGTGCAAGGAAACTGCCTTCCCGACTCACAGAGTGCCTCTCTGTAGTAATAATAGCTGACATTTTCTGTATTTATTTTCAGGCTCCAAAGCACTCTAAATGTTGTCTTATTTGATTCTCTTAACAATTTTGTGAAGCAAGTACTATTATTATCCTCATTTTACCGACGAAGAAACCAAGGCTTACAAAGGTTAAGTGATCAACCCCAATCACGTCTTCCTGAGTCCAAGTCTAACATTCTATGTACTAAATCATCCTTGTCGAAGGCAAAACAGCATGAGAATCCTGAAGATAAGCACAGCGAGGACACGAGTTCCGAATATTTCACTGGAGACAATGCCCACATCTGGGAGACCACAGATCCACTCAAGATGAGAATCTTTCTTGCTATGACCATAGATTCTGGAGAGGACTTGTCAATCGCTTGCCCTGTGGCAGCAGCCCTGTGACTTCCTTGACCAAGACCCTTCCCTGGCTCCCACTCCCCTGTGTGTTGTCTTCCCCATTAGATTATAAGCTCCTTGAAGGGAGGGACTGTCTCATTTTTTTTCTCTGTATCCCCTAGCACCATGCACAGTGCTTGACAAATAGTATTAAGCAATTTTTCATTCATTCATATATTTGTTCATTCATGCAAGGATACTAAGTAATAGGTTCCAATTTGGTTATATCAAAACATGTTTGGATAAATAAGAATAAGCATTCTCCCCAACCCTATTAACAAACAAAATGGATTCCAAAGATCATTTATAAATACCTGTTATTCGCATTTGACAACACATCTTCTTTGTATCTACAAATTTGGTTTTGCTTAAGCATTTAATAAATGTCTCAATTTGTTGGCAGTACTATTGGTCACTGTGTTGTATATATGAGTTATCCGGGAATAAAACCTGTCCTCCAACCTCTCCTGTCTGTGTCCATGTCTGCGCTCCCCACCCCCACCCCGCCACCCGCCACCCAGTGGCTGGCCCTAGCCAGAGTGTTCCTCTTGTTCTCACTTCTCTGTCTCTGGCCCCCGCGTGTCCCTGAACCATGTGCCACCTCTTCCATCCACAGATGTGCAGCCCTCTTCCTGCCTTCCTCCCTCTCTCCCTTCTCCATTTGGTGGGAAAATTTGCATTATGTAAAAATCACTTTTCATGGAGGTCTGCAGAATGGTCCACTTACATAGAGCAAGAACTGTCTGTAATACCACTAATATTCCATAGGAAAGTAATCCAAACTATACATAATGCTAATAATGAAAAAGGTCACATTTTTTATTCGATTTCAGAATAGCTTTGGGGATCCTAAAAGGGTCATAGAAGAAGACAGTGAAAGAAAGCACAAGATTCTGACAAGATCCCCATCACAAACATTCTATTATAGCAAATTGAGAAAACCATATCATCATGACTTTGGGAAAATCATTTATTATTGTACCATTAACTGTTTTTCAGGATGCAGTTGAGTGTGACCAGAGTCCCCAAACTCTAGAAAGTCCCTAAATCTTAAAATAACTGCTAAAAAATAGTAACTGTACTTTATTATAAAAGCATTGTCAATCTCTCTTCACAGTCCTTGTACCTACTGAGGAGGCCCTAGACCCTGTTTGTTCTGCAGTTGCATGCCTTGCTAATAAATCACATAACTTGACTTTTTGTCTCCATGGTTATCAAAAAACTACTTGTGACAAAGTTTAGATGTTCTTAATGTAATTGAAAATGCAAGGGGACAATCCCAGTATATCCCAGAATCTCCAAATTACTGTGAAAACAACCAAGTCAATCTTTGATGATACCCATTAATTTCTGGGAGAATGGGCACAGCTGATATAAAAAGATTATAAAAAAGGAAGTAATTTTTACTTGACATTAAAATGCACTTCCCTGCTCATAATGTATCATATATATATAATATGTAATGTATTCAAATACACACACACACACACACACACACAGAGTATCTCCAATCAGTCATTCAATAAGTAAACATTTATTAAGTATCTACTCCACGCTGGTGTTGTGGCTGGGCATACAAAGACTAAAAGAAACAGTCCCTACCCTCAAGTAACTTAGTTCATCAGAGTCCTCAAGGAACTCCAGTGCTTTCAGGATCATCTCAACTCCTCTGTTTGCCTGTAAAGCTTTCCCAGTCTGGTTCTAGTCTACCTTTCCTGGCATAGATGCACCTTCCTCTCTACCTGCTCTGGCTCTTCAGTGCTCCATTCCTTATACTTATACTGGACAATCCATTGCTGATCCTGCAAAGCATGCCCTCCTTACTTCCGACTAAGCATCCCTCCGTGCCCTCAAAACTCAGCTCTAGAGCCCCTTTGGCAAGCCTATTTTACCCCCCTGCTTATTTGTGCCCTGTCTTCAGAAATATTTTCACATCTACTTTGTATATATTTCGGGTCCGCTTCTCTATGTGGCCATTGATTCACCGATAGTATGTAACCGCTCTGAGCACAGGCTTCATCAGTAAATATGCTTCCAACATGACTACAGTCAGAGCTCTCTCCCAGCCCAGCCTCATCTTGTACAGGAAGATACCGAAGCTCAGAGGACTAATGTTATTTACTCAAGGTCCAACAGATGGTGGAATCAAAATTTGAACTCGGGTCCTGAGACTTTAGGTTTAGAAAGAAATAGTTTTCAGATGTGGTATAAGGAAGTCAGTGAATGAACATGTCTGTCACATTCGCTTCACAGAAAAGATCTCCCCAAATATTTACTACTCTGAAAATAAATGACCTGGAGATCAGAGAAATTTGGCAGCTTTTTCTTGAGGCAGTCTTTTTCAAAGCTCGTAATTAGATGGTTAAAAAACACAAACGGATCACGCGTCTATGTTCTATTGCCATTTTCCACATTAGCCAATGGGGTGTATTATTAAAGTACAATTTTTAAAAAATCAAAACAATTCATGCTCGTAAGCGATGCAGGGGGCACTGGGGACCAAATGTAGGAGGGAAGGGTCGATAAGGCTGCCATGGACTGGGGTGGGGGGATATATGGGGGGTGGGGGGCGTCCATATGAGGCTTCCATGTGACAACAACCTAAGAACAAGGACAAGAGGACTGTCCATGCGGGGAGTCCCCGGCCACTTTTCTCTGATGCTGCCAGCTGCTCCAAAGTCCCTCTGATTTTCTAACTCTTGCCAATGGTACCCAATACCCATACCACTTAAAACTTCATAATAGCTGGCATTTGTGTAGCCCTTAAAGGTTTACAAAGCGCTTTACCTTTGTTATCTCATTTATTATTATCAAATGAGAGAATATCTGTAAAGCTCT